ATTGTTGTATGAAGTTATGCATAGGTGTATGTACATGACTTGTGTAATTGTGAACTATGGATATGTTTGATGATTGTCCATATTTGCCTATATATATATATATATATATATATATATATATATATATATATATATATATATATATATATATATATATATATATATATATATATATATATATATATATATATATATATATATATATATATATATATATATATATGCTTTGTGAAGTATATGATGAAGTATGGTGAGAATGGTGGAATATGCGTATGTGCATTACTTGTGTAATTGAGAGTTGTGAATATGTGATCATTGTATGAAAGTATGCTTATGAACATGAATTGTTGGTTTGAGAATTGTGAATGTGTCATTGTGAATTAGTGAGTAAACATAATATGTTTATATTCATGTGGAATGTTGAGATTTATGGATACGTGCATGATGAATATGCTTGGTGATTATCCATATTTGATTATATATATGTTGTATTGTACATGATGAGTTATAATGAATTGTGGTGAGAAAATGTGGAATATATGTATTTTGTGCTTGTGTATTTGTGTATATATAATTATATGCATTGTTATTATGATAATATTTCTCACCCTGCTGCTGGAATGATGTCCTACATGACATCGTGCAGGTATCAAGGAGTAGTATTGCTCGTAGTTACGAGGTCGCTTTTGGTGTAGCGGTTTAGTGATTTAATTATGTTGGGTCGAGTCATGCTCTGGTCATGTAACACTGGGATCGCTTGGGTTGTGTTTAAGATATACATTGTGTACTCTATAAACGTGTTTATATCCATTGGAATATTATGATGTTGGCCTTAGTGCCTAAGTGATGTTGTTTTATGTGATAAAAACAAATGTTTCTTTTATGAAAATTGTGGTATAATTGAATCCGCTGCTACATGCAAAGTGAAGTTTTGTAAAGCATAATTTTATATTGAAATAGTAATGAGCATGACAGGTGGTTTTGATATTTTGAAAGTTATGTGTAATGCCCTTTTGTAAATGCGTGGAAATTTACTCTGATTATTCATATATTATCCGTGGGATTTAGAAGGGTGTTACATTAGTCATGTCCACACATGTAAGTTTCCTTTCTACCTACTTGTATACCAGAATATTTGTTGGCCTAAGTGTCGATCTTATGTCTCATGGATCAATCAAGAAATTCACAGGCATCTCTTTCTTCATAGATATTTGTCAGCTGGAATATATCAAACATGGCATTACTAAAAAAATTGTGTTGATATTTGAATCCTATAAGCTTCATACAATAAAATGCGTGTTTCCTAAGTACATCTTATGACAAACAAGGCAAACTCATCAAGAAATGATGGAATCCTAAGAAGATATCTAATGATAGTATGATACTCTATCAGTGACATATGTTGGCCTAACCCATCAATATGAATAGCTAGGATAAAATCATGAGCACGTGTTGCTTGCAAATAACCAAAAATTGTTTTTTCCCATGTGGTCGTGTCAAACTTTACTTCCATGTCCTGAACATTTTTACTTAAAATGGAATTTGCTAAAACATGTTGAGCTTTAGGAGGATGGTGTCATTACTATTAAACTTCTAAGGTAGAAATTTGGGATCTTACCACTAAGGTCATCCAAAACTCTATGAAATTTTGAGTCCAAACCATATATCCCACTGTCTCTAAAGATATGATAATGTAACACCCAAGATTAGGCTTTGGAAGCCACAAAATATATGAGGCAACCTCTACTGTTGATTACAACCTAATCCTCTAACTTTGATAGGTAAATAAATCATCCTCCATTGAAGATTCCAAAGAAACAACTTCCACCAACCACAATGTCTTAAACCATCTTTACAACTCTTTATCAAACCAAATAACTGATTTCTCTATGTGATTCGATTGACACGCTCTTAGGCCAAAATAGTTTGGTGATACCCATGCATAATTAAAGTATAAAAAACTCACTTTGTAGATCCCTTAATTGTAGAAAAATATGCATTAACTCAACATGCCAGACAACTTTCTTCATGAAAAAAACCTTATAAAACCTCAACCTCAACTAACAGCCACTATAAATAATTTTTTCTCTAATGCCAACCTCGTGATATCTAAAAAGAACAACCCTCAATGAAGTTGAATGTCTTGTCAAACTATCCTTATCTTACGAATATTTAATTCAAGACAATCTTGGACTTGTCTCTTGAATTATTTCAAGAGTTATAACCATTTCTTTTAAATCTCATTAATAACAGGGTGTAACCCTAACATACCACCTTATTGCATTTCAGACATAATATATGCATTTTTAGGGATGCGCATGGATATCCATTTAATATGAACCAATTCATTTTTATGGTTATGGTTTATAAACCAATCAATTTTTATGGTTATGGTTTATAAACCAAATCACTTGTTCTGAATCGGTTTAAAACCGGTTCTAAATGGATTTTAATTTTAATTTAAATTATTTAGTTAAATTTAAATTAATTTTTTTAATTATATCAATTTTTAAATTTAAATACTTAGCTTTTAATATATTTTTTCTTTGAAAATAAAAAAGAATATTCTAAAAAACAATTTAAAAAAATCTAAAAAATAAAAAAATTTAAAATAAAACTGAAAATAAAAAATTATAAAATAAATTTTTTTAGCAAATTATATGAACTTAAAATGGTAATTAATATGTTATAATACATATATTTGTATATTTCAAAACCTCTATTTATTGGTGAAGAAATCTATAATATTTATAATTATTTTTTCATAAAGCTTTAATTATCTTCGAGATTTATAAATAAAAAGTAGAGTCAAATCCAACAAATCAAGTTTTGATATATTTTTTTGCACATGCCAAATCAAACTCGATGTATTAAGATCTATATAATTAATTACTGAAAGTTCATATAATTAATAGCTAAAAATGCATATAATTTGTGAAGTATTAGTACATCATTTTAGATAGTTAGAGAATTTGTAAACAATTTTGTTTTTTAATTTTGAAATACAAAATTTTAAATTTTTTGTAAAATAATTATTTTATAAAATTTAAAAAAATTAACTTTAAAATAGTTTAAAATATAAAATTAGTTTATAAAGTGTATATGATAAAACATGAAAAGAGACAAAAACATATCAATTTAATCAATAATAAAATTTAAATATCCAATAACTAAACCACATCATTATTATTATTATTATTATGGAAAGTGATTTATATTTGGATAATTAAATTTATATTTTAATATTTGATTTGAATTTTTAAAGTGAAATAATTTGGATAATAATAACTGAATTTTTTGGACACCCCTATACATTTTCTATGAAAAAATTTGATGTGTAAAAATAGTAAAATATAGCATATTCTTATTAATTGTTGTAAAAGATAATTTTATTGACCGTCGATATAAAACATATATCTTAATTTTACAAAGTCTATATTCTTTGGTCAGATTTGGGTATAGGCTGATCCTTTGATTAATTGAGTAAAAAACAAATTGAATTTTGAATAAACACAATTTGTCATATTAGACGTGATAGTAGCTACGCAATCGTGCCATTTATCTTACGTAGAGCACAGCATAACGTCATTCACCAAGCCACTAACTCCCACGTTTAATATTTAATATCTTTTTTTCTTTTTCTCTTATGACAATAACATACAATAATTATTTTTATATTTTTCTTATTTCCGGTCAAAAATAAAAATCAACCAAGTTGAATGGACTGTTATGAATTCATTTTTATATTATTATATTTATTTTCCATTTTTTTCTTACAACATGAAACGGGACATTCAAATACGACAAAACTAATTAATAAACAATTAATATAAATATTACGTTGTCCAAAAATAAATTAAACATGAACTAAAAAAATAAATAAAAATAAACTGTGACTTAACAAACCGGAAGTCATATAGTAGTAATAACAATGTTGAGGGGAACAATCCATTCCAAATTTGTTTTATTTTTATTTGTTAAATTATATGACTAATTACGTGCCTAAAACATTTATATCAATATGTAATTTAATTAATTTAAATCCAAAAGTAATGGAAATACGGTGGAGGGGAACAATCCTATCTACCACCGACACGGACGCGCAACAACTCAGATCTGGTGGCGACCGGTAAAATTTGGTAACCACCGGCAATATCCGGTAATCAAAAATCCTTTCAAACACGTTCACCAACCTTTTATTCACGCGTCAAAACTAACGGGGCACCGAAGGATTCGGTAACCAGTAATCCCACGCATTATAGCTAGTATAAATAGATAGATAGAGTCGTTGGTCTCTTACATCCGTCATTTGAGTTTCTCAAGCTGGTCTCTGGTCATAGCGAGTGTTGTGTTGCTATTTGAACCTCCATTTCTCTTCTACTTGCACCCCACTCGCTCCAGGTTCATCCTTATTCTCTTCTTTACCTGATTCGTTGCTCTTTGTAGCGCTTAACTGTTCATATTTCGTTGCAGTTGTTTATATTTTGTTGCAAATTAACCGTTTCAGTTCTAGATCTGATTATTATTATTTTTTATGATTCTGATTTTGTCGTTAGTTGTTTATATTTTATGAAATTTGTTAGGTTTACGAAGCTGAACTGAACTGTCCAATCTTGAATACGTATTCATTTCGGTTTTTGTTGAATTTGGCGTTTTCTGTTATAGATCTGATATTGTTATGAAAAAACGTGTTCTAACCGTTTTTCTCTCTCTCTCTGGATCTAGATTTCGTTGTAGGGAATATTGATACGCTACAATATTTTATCAGGATAAATTTTTTTTGAATTATTATTATAAAATTTTATGGAATAAAGTTTTTTCATATATTCTTTCAAATTGTTTTGGGATAATTAGCTTTATTTATTCTATTCGTTTTTGCAATTTGAGCTCGAATATTAGTCATCTTGTAGTGATAAGTATTGAAAGGAAAATTCTTACTTATCAGGTTCTCATTTATGAATATTGTTTGATTGTTGTTGTTTTGTGTAATAGCTTGAACAATGGCGGAAACTTTTCTATTCACATCTGAGTCGGTGAACGAGGGTCACCCTGACAAGCTCTGCGACCAGATCTCCGATGCGGTGCTTGACGCCTGTCTTGAACAAGATCCTGACAGTAAGGTTGCCTGTGAGACTTGCACCAAGACTAACATGGTTATGGTTTTTGGAGAGATAACAACTAAGGCTAATGTCGACTATGAGAAGATTGTTCGTGACACTTGCCGCAACATTGGGTTTATATCCGATGATGTTGGTCTTGATGCTGACAAATGTAACGTTTTGGTTAATATTGAGCAGCAGAGTCCTGATATTGCTCAAGGTGTTCATGGACATTTCTCGAAAAGTCCGGAAGAGGTTGGTGCTGGTGATCAAGGTCATATGTTTGGTTATGCTACTGATGAAACTCCTGAGCTTATGCCTTTGAGTCATGTCCTTGCAACCAAACTTGGTGCTCGTCTTACCGAGGTTAGGAAGAACGGTACCTGTGCTTGGCTGAGACCAGACGGCAAGACACAAGTGACTGTTGAGTACTACAATGAAAACGGTGCTATGGTTCCGGTTCGTGTCCATACTGTCCTCATTTCCACACAACACGATGAGACTGTCAGTAACGACCAGATTGCTGCTGATCTTAAGGAGCATGTCATCAAGCCTGTTATCCCTGAGAAGTACTTGGACGAGAAGACCATCTTCCACCTTAACCCTTCTGGCCGCTTTGTCATTGGAGGTCCCCATGGTGACGCCGGTCTCACTGGAAGAAAGATTATCATCGATACCTATGGCGGCTGGGGAGCCCACGGTGGAGGTGCCTTTTCCGGCAAGGACCCAACTAAGGTCGACAGAAGTGGTGCCTATGTTGTTAGGCAAGCAGCAAAGAGTATTGTGGCTAACGGTCTTGCTCGCAGATGCCTTGTTCAAGTTTCATACGCCATCGGTGTGCCAGAGCCTTTATCAGTATTTGTTGACAGTTACGGAACCGGAAAGATTCCCGACAAGGAGATTCTTCAGATTGTGAAGGAGAGTTTCGACTTCAGACCTGGAATGATCACCATTAACTTGGACCTTAAGAGGGGTGGCAATAGCAGGTTTCTTAAGACAGCTGCTTATGGACACTTTGGAAGGGATGATCCTGATTTCACTTGGGAAATTGTGAAGCCACTCAAGTGGGACAAGCCTCAAGCTTAAGAAAGATGTGTTGTGGATTTTATATTCTTCCCTTTTCAATGTTTGTCTTACTACTATTAGGTGTGGATGAATAATCTGTGTGTTTAGTTTAATTGTTGCTACTTTGTTATTTTTTCTCTCTTTTTTACCTTACAATTTTAATTATTGTAATGGAATGTTATTGTCACCTTGTTGGGGCAATGAATGTGTTTCTTCTTTTACAGAATTTGAAATGCTGAAAAAGCTATCTGTTATGATTATTTTATCTAAAAGGTAGTCCAAATCATTCTCACAAAATTGAAAATTTGTTTCTTGTTCTGACTAGGGCTAGGGAACTTTAGCCAAGTGTATGTAGCTGTAAAGGTGAATGGGAAAAATGGGTAATATATATCCAAAAAGGTTCTGCAATTAGAAATTACTACTATATGGTACTTCAACTTCTGACCCTCATTGTGTTGTATAAAAAATATTTTTTTCTGGAGAACATAAGTTGTATTTTCAATACAACTTCTATTTTATAATTTGTCTTTTGACTCATGTAGAGCTGAGTGTTTCTCACTTTTAAAGAGTAAAGTAGATAATATCAACTTTTAATAAATAAATTGATACTAGTTGATAAGTATAACAAATTATAAATGATTTTATTGTCAACAATTGATCTCTTTATGAACTAATCATTATTTTAGAGGAGCCAAATTCTCTAAAGATACATGTTAGCAAAATCAATTTTTTCTAAATCTACTTTTAATATAAGAATTAAGAATTGAATATACATATGTAATTATTTTAATAACCTTCTCAAACTTTAATTAAAACACTTATCTTATGTTTTTAATTGTAATTTGACACTCTTAATCATTAAATTTTAAGTTGCTCTAAAAAAACTACAACATATTACCTTAATTTACGATTTCTATTTTACTCTTATGCATATTTGCAATTCCAATTTCGTATCAAAAACCTTTCTAATTTAACATATCATTAATTAAAATCATTGTTGATTTTTGATTTTTTTTTCATATCCATGGTTAGAGTTCTTTATATATTTTTCTCTTTTATTTACCTAACCTAAATTTTTTTCTGTTATTATTGCATATATTTCACTTGATTTTTATTTTCAATCTCACTAATATGATTATTGTTAATATGATTTTCGAAAATTTATTTGTGAATATAATTTTTGTTAATATGAGTTTGATTTATGTAACTTCCTGAATTTGTGTTGCCATGGTTTTTAGATCCGATTTACAAATAAATAGGTTAGTTGATTATTTTATGTTATTACTAATGTCTTGTAAAGATTTACAAATTAAAATCAATTGTTTCTTTTATGTAATTTTCTAAATCTGTTTGCTTTGATTTTTGTACTTGCAAATCTCTGTTTTTCATTTGCAATAAATTAACTCTAATGGTTAAATTTTGTTTTCTGCAATTCTATATTTTGTTCAAGTTTTTAACAAACAAATTTACGTTTTGTTTTCAGCAATTTTATATTTTGTTCAAGTTTTCAACAAACAAATTTTCGTTTTGTTTTCTGCAACTCTATTTATCAAGTTATGGACTAAAAATTCTCTATTTTGTTTTTCTAAACCTTATTAACAATATGTATAATATTTTAGGGTGTTCCAATGAGTATTACAGTTGTATTTTAAAAAAAAATCTCAAATCTCTATAGTTATTGTTGAAACTTGATAATCAGTAAACAAGAAAGAGACTACTTAAAATGATAATAGCTTGAGGCTTTGTTGGCATAAGTCATTAAAAGAATACAAATGTTAGTAATGTATTTTTAAAATGGCATTTTGTGATTGATACATCATGGCAAGTAACTGATACTTCCTGTTTACGGTTAATGAATTATAAATTTTAGAACAAAAGAATTGTATTTATCAAATTGAATAAGTTTTATAGAACAAAAGAATTGTATTCATCAAATTAAATAGGTTTTAGAACAAAAGAATTAAATTCATCAAATTGTATAGATTATTACAGGAGTCCTTCTCCTCTTTCACAATCTGACATTTATTTTTCTCTTTATCCAATGAAACCTTCTCATCAATGTTTATGTTGCATAATGTATAAAAAAAAACAAGATGGATATCATAAGGGTGTGAAGAAGACTGGTATTACATGTTTGAACATTTTAGCCCGAATATCATGAGGTTGTGAAGAGAAGTGTTATAACAATAAGTTTAATTACTATCTTAATTTTTATTTATGTTGCTTCAAAAAATAATTATTATGTTGCTTCAATAATAAAATTAACTATTATTATATATTTTTTCATGAATATTAAAAATGTAATTCAATTTTAATTTATGTGATTAATATGTATTAATAATAACTAATATTGTGTTTCAATTTGCAAAATATTATTATTATTATTATTATTATTATTGTTATTATTATTATTATTATTATTATTATTATTATTGTTTTGAACTTGACCGACGCTTAACCCACAATCAAGCAGACTCAAGCTCCAATGTGGTTGGGCCCAAGAATACCACGTTGACGGGCAGAAGTCCCGTCAAGCACCACCTCTCCCCGTCAGGCGTAGACTAACAATAATAATAATATTATTATTGTTATTATTATTATTATTAATTTGTTGTTTGAATAATTATTATATATTATTTTATCTTTTTCAATTTTTTGATGTAGTACTCTAATGGCAACAATCAAGTACTAAATAAATTAAATTCACAAGACAAATATATATTTATTTTAATAAATTTTTATGCAAAAATTTCTAATATGCAGTATGTAATATTTTAAATATGTGTACTTCCTTCTTCGCATAAAAAGTATCTCACTTTTATATTTTTTAATGTTTTAAAATAATTATCTCTTAAAAATATGATACAATATTTATTATTATTTTTTATTACTATTTCTATTATTTATTAACTTTAATTTAATTCAACTATGTTATTTACTACAATTAATAAACGTATTCTAAAAAATGACATTGTTTTTTTTAATTAAAATTAATATATATATATATATATATATATATATATATATATATATATATATATATATATATATATATATATATATATATATATATATATATATATATATATATATATATATATATATATATATATATATATATATATATATATATATATATATATATATATATATATATATATATATATATATATATATATATATATATATATATATATATATATATATATATATATATATATATAATTATTTTTCTAAAAACTGTATTGCTCAAATAAAATATTTTTTATGAGGCGAAGGAGTATTATTTCGCCCCTACTAATTAATATTTCTTGATTCGTCCCTGCCCCAATAATAAAACTCCGCCATCTCCTCTTTCTCATTCTCCGTCATCTTACCATCCAAATCTTAAGTATGCGATTCTTAAAAAACAGAAAAAATGGCCACCAACTCCTCCACCACCACCACCATCACCACTTGTGACACCATTTGATTGCTGGAAGTTGGCTGAAACATGACTGACATCATTCTGCAAGTTTAACCTATGTCCCAAAACACCAATATTCCCCATGTTCACAATACACGGCCTGTGGCCGTCAAACAAAACCGATTCTCAGCCACGTAACTGCGGTGGTAATCCTTTTAATCTTGACAAAGTAAGTTTATTTTACTATTGTTGATGTTTGCTAGAGCAAAGTAAGTTTATTTTAATGAATTTTGTTTATTTTAATGTTGTTGAGGTTTGCTAGAGCAAAGTAAGTTTATTTTACTGTTGTTGATGTTTGCTAGAGCAAAGTAAGTTTATTTTAATGAATTGTGTTTATTTTACTGTTGTTGATGTTTGCTACTATTATGATCATTATTACCTATATATTAATTAAAAATATTTTTTTTTTGTTGTTGATTTATCATGTGGTTCTTATAAAGGCTAAGTTAGACAAATTTTGGCCAAACTTAATGGGGATGGGACGAAACGATGGGTATAGTTTTTGGTCAAAACAGTGGAAATTACACGGGAGTTGTTCATCAATGAATGAGCCAGAGTTCTTTAATTTAGCATTACCAATTTACCATAAAAATAAGCTCAAGACTATCCTTGATTTGAATGGTATTAAACCTGGTGGTGCAAAGAAAGAAAAGATCACAGATATGTTCAATGCCATAGAGAAGGGTATTGGCAAAAAACCACAGATTCGATGTAAAATGTCTTATTTACTTGAAATTAGAGTTTATTTGAATAAAGTCAATGTCGATTATACAGATTGTACCGGTCAACTTACTATCAATTGTCCGGTTGAAGTATATTTCCCGTAATGATGGTTTGTAATCTATAAACAAATAAATAAATAAAGTTATAATCTTCTTAGTTAAAAGGTTAACTCTAAAGTGTTTGTAATCTATAAACAAATAAATAAATAAAGTTATAATCTTCTTAGTTAAAAGGTTAACTCTAAAGTATCTTTTGTTTTTTTATGCTCTAAAATTGACTCCAACATATATAACTGGAGGAGGTTTTCTTATTACTGTTTAATGTATCATTCATGATTTTTTTTACATTTATTTAATCAGAGGCATTTTAATGTATCATTCATGATTTCTTGAAAAAATTCTTGTCTGACGTGTTGAAACAATCTAGTGTAAAATTTTAGTTTAATTGCTTATGCCATTGTCTCGTTCCAATGAACTACACTGTTTTCTGTTTCTCTTTTGGCAACTTTTTGTTTGTTTGTTCTATCAAGAGTTGAGTGTTATAAATCTCAAGTCTTTAAAACTGTTACTAAAGATTTACAGTAAAAATATTAAACTATGATCAACGATTTACAATAAAAATTATAAAGCTATATATTTTATGAAGTGATTTAAGTTAAACGTTTGTAATAAATTAGTATTTTAATAAATGTCTCATTTAAATAAATTAGCCCTTTTAATTTAAATCTTTTCAGCACATGATAAGTTAAGTTTATTATACCCATTCAAATATGACGAACTATGTTTAGTCTACATGTCTTGAAACTCTATCTACATTTATTAAAACACAAGCA